TAGTAGTACGTACGGTACGGGTACGGGTACGGTAACGGTAAGTAAACGGTAACGTAACGTTACTTACTTTACGTTTTTAACTTTACGTAACGTAAGGTACGTACTACTCTCTACTACTCTCTCTCTCTCTCTCTCTCTCTCTCTCTCTCTCTCTCTCTCTCTCTCTTTGTTCGTAGAAATCTGTTTCCACTTCCATCTTGCTCTAGCCATTTCTTTCTCCCTCTATCTCTACCATGTTTTCCTCTCTAGAGATTCAATGTGTTTAAACCCTTTTCATGGTAGAAATGTATCTTCCAGCCCCAAGGTGCATCCAGATGCTATCCGAACAGCAAAAACCCATTTTATAAGAAATGTTGTTCGCAAGAAATATATTTCACAGGAAATAGTTTTTTTCGGACTAGTTTTTCAAGGGATCCAAATGGGGCCTTAGAGTCTTCTATCAAATGAATCATAGTATTCCGAGCACACAATTTACTAGTACTCTCAAAACACAACGGCAATGGACCTTTATTGCAAAATGAACACCCAAAACAAATGGAAAAGACCAAATAAGCCTTTCGGGGAAAACAAACTGCCACCACAGCTTGCTAGAGCGTCTCATACTTTCAAAATTCATTGGCATACAAAATGACTTGCAGATAATAAAAAGGATACTACTCAAATTGCAAAGCATGGAGAGTTATATAAAAAGTGCATTTATAAATGTCAAAATCATCTACGAAGAAACGCTTGCCAATACTTAAAAGTACTTGATATCAATACAATAATTATTGGCAGTTAAGGTGACGAACTGACAGGTCATGAGTATTGTTAGATTCATTCCCATGTGGGCTCTTTTGCATGAGATGTTATACACAAAATTATAAAAGCATTCAATAAGCATCACAACAGCAAAAAAATGCAAAACAGAGGTGTTTCAGTCAAATTATTGCTTCAAGTTATAAGTTCTTGGTCAAACTTAAAATATGTTAGAGCACACTGCACTACAAAATTCTCCCATCCCCTCATGTGATTTTGCTTGTGCAAAATTGCAAATGATCACTAGCACATGGTAATGAGACTCACCACCACCATACATGATGCTTGAGCTTCAGAGAATTACGAGATGTTATAAACAATATGTTTCCAGTTTGAAATTCCTGCAATACTAGACATGGATACAATAATGAGTACGTTGACTTATACGCCAAATTACAAGAAACATAATTCATTGCAAATAATAGGGAAAATACAAAAACAACTTTACAACTAAAAAGTTTGATAGTAATCATGGACGGATACGAGTAGGCAATTATCTCTAAGGGTTTAAGAATAACACCATGAGCCAAACGTGTCCCTATCAGAAGAGAAGACCATTTTGAGTAAGACTAACAGAGAACCAAAACAAAATTACAAGATGTGGGAAGCACAAAAAATTCTTGAAAAAGTAAGAGTTAAAAAGGATGTAAAGTTTATTACGAAGAACAAAAGACCTTTCTCAATAATAAAAGCCAAGTGCAATTTTATAGAAAATAAAATTATATTCTCTAGTGACAAAAAGGAAAAGCTGCCTTCTCAATTCTCAGAGGCAACTGAACGAAATCATCCAGCAGCATCAACTGAATTATTACAAGATTAACAACAAACTCATTTTTAGTAAGTTTTAAACTAGTGTCAGTTCATTACCGGTAATTTGAAAAAACAAATAATAATAAAATTATAGAATGAACTAAAAGGTATAGAGCAATTGTTATTCACAATCCTTCTTTTTCTTTTCCTTTTTTTTATTATAGAAAGTAATATTAAATAGTCAATATTAACTAAAATAAAAATTTCACAAAAGTATTACAAATAACAAAGAGCATATAACCCTAAAACCCAATTTTTCTCACAACTTTGGAAGTTAAAAAATAATAAAAAAAAAAAAATATATATATATATATATATATAAAACCAACATAATTTTGTCGAACTTTAACCAATTACAAACCAGTTTTCACTGTAAGGATACAATTATTGTGGTCCACTTTTTTAAAACTAAGGCACTACTTTTGCCCTGGTTTTCCATTGTAAGGTTTTTATCATGTAAATTTACAGCAAAGCCATAAGTACTTCATACAGGAGAACCGTTGTTTAGAGGGCACTAATATTTATAAAGGTTAGGGTTAAAAGACATAGTAAATCCTCTCTCTCATAAAGAAATTAATGAAGAAAAAGGGGACAAACCACTTACAGTGAGCAGGAGTTCAATACTCTCCAAGAACCAAATACGAGCCCCTCTCTCTCTCTCTAAGAATGACTGCAAAGAATCCGTTGTAGCGAAGCAAGGCTTTTCATTACTTTCTCTCTCTCTCTCTCTCAAACTTCTTTCTCATGTGTCGCGCTCTTCCTGCTTTGAAAAACGCCGGGGGCGGGAATGGGGTTGAGGTCGTAAGTCCGATCAGGGAATTGGTCTCTCCGTTCTTGTTATGCGCATGAAAACTAAGGTTTTAAAAATCAAACAAAAAAAATAAATAAATAAATGCCGGGTTGGCGCAGAATCGTAAATTGGTGTCTCTGTTTCTGTGATGCGCATGAAAACTAAGATTTTAAAAATCAATTCGGTGGTCGGGATAATCTTCACTCATATTCGTGTTGGATCGGTGAGTCGGCGCGTCATATCGGAGGTTGAGCATATTAATATGTCGAATGAGCAAATTTTGTCTCAATAAATTTTAAAAAAATCACTATAAATCTATTAAAAATAATGATCTTTTATTTTCTATAAAAAATTAAAAATATTGCATTATATATTTTTATTACTTTATAAAATTTTAAAAAAATCACTATAAATCTCTAAAAATAGTGTTTTTTTTAAAAGTGATGCATTATGAATTTTCGTTACTTCATAAAAATAGGTGAATACAGAGACGTTTTCATGTCTAGATGTTTGTTAAACATTCATCCAAATCATTGAAAAAATACTTATAATAATCAAGGATAAAAACATAAAGTCCAATCTAAATGTTTGTTAACCATTCATCCAAATCATTGAAAAAATGCTTATAATAATCAAGGATAGAAATATAAAGTCCAAAATATCAAGTACTGCAACCCAAAAACAACCTAATACCTAAACTAAAGGTGGTTTCGTTCTTGCTCGTCATCGCACTGATGCATCTCATCAAATTCTATCGACAATTCATTGAGCCAATTCATTTACGCCTTAGAATCTTTGGTGCTGACCTGACTCTACCCAGTTAATTAATTATGTATCATGAACATACATTTTTATTACATTAAAATTTTGACAATAAAATTGACAAATACAAGTTTTCTTTGCATGATAATTATACATTCATGAGATAGAATTGATTATAATTATAAGAAAAAAAAATTACTCTTATACCGAGAGAAACAAGAACATATACTTGTCAAAATCGCTAGTTTTATTCAGTAAAATATTTTACTCATAAATTATATATCAAAAACATACGTACATTTTATGTATCAAAAATTTTTTAATTATGTATCAAGATTCAAAAAATTACATTTTAGTGCATTCAACAAATTGACAATAAAATTAAAAAATGCAAGTTTTTTTACAATAAATTTATAAATTCATGACATAGAATTCAATCTCATTACAATAAAATCGAAAAAAAAGGTATTCTTATATTGCGTGTATCAAAAATAATTATTTGTCAAAATTCTTAATTTAAATCAAGAAATTAATTTAAAAGTAATTACTCAAAAACCTAAATTGGATTTCAAACCACGAAGCATTTAAAAAAAATCCTTTAAAAGCAAAAAACAAAACGAAAATTCATGATTCTGGATCTGAGAATTGAGAATATTAAGATCAAAATGCATATCTAAATTGGATCTGAATTGAGTTATAATGACCGGAAATCAAGGTTTTCAAGAATCGACAACCAAACCTTGCTTAATCACACGACTAAGCACATCATCTGAAGATCACCATTATAGCACATCATCTGAAGATCACCATTATCTTAAAAACCCCTTTGATTTCATTCAAAATGGTGCCAAAAATCTCCTAAAATCAATAGATTGGCGAAAAAACCATAACCCATGAACTGCACTTCGCAAAAGGAATCGATATTTTGAAAAATCGAACAGTTATTGTTGCTTAATCACGCAAAATTCCTACAACATCTGGTCAAGAACACGATGAAGAACAAAACCCCTTCGATATCAACAAAAAAGCAATCCAAAATCGATCGTAATCGCAAGAATGACGAAGGTTTTATTTTGTCAACTGTTTTTAAAAAAAAAAATTGGAATTCGAAAATCGAGGAACTATTGTTGCTAAATCACAAAAAAGGCTACAACATTGGTCAAGATCACGATGAAGAACAAAACCATCTGACATCAGCAAAAAATTAGTCCAAAATCGATTGTAATCGAAACAATGGCAGAGTTTTTTTTTCCGTCAACAGTTTTTGAAAAAAATGCACCGGAAATCGATTTTGTGATATCCAAACGGTGAAAGATTCGTTTATAGTAAAAAACAAGGCTGCAAAATGATTAAATATGATCAATAATTCACTGCTAAAGCCTGCAAATGGCAATAATTCATCAAAAAAATGAAACTCGTGATGGTTTTTCTTCTTTCACTGTTCATGCGGGTGAACTCGGCGATTAACTGTGCAGAGTCGCCGTGTCATCCCACTAATTTTACAGTGGAATAGCCGAATACCCTTTCGGTAAAATTGGAATGGTTTAACCAATGGTTTAAAAAACGGATGGTGATCCGGATCGGGCTTTCAAAAAACCTATTCGGATCGAAGAATCGGCTATCCGGATCGAAAATCGGATGAATCGGTCAGAATAAAGCTTAAAAAATATCCGAAAAAATTATTAAAATTCATTATAAATATTATTTTTTAAAAATTCAATAAGAAATGAGGGTACTC